CGGAGGCTTTTTTTATTTAAGAAAATATAATTATGAAATTGCAATTATTATATTGTTGGTTAGATTTTTAATGTACATATGTTTTGAAAGTACCAAAGATATTTTATGTTTTTAAATAAACACAACATGTAAGATGTCTTAAAGCTAGTATAATTGTTCCGAACATAAACAACAGTTAAACCACGTCTGTTCGTTAGTAACATTTTAAGTGTAAATGTTAAATCTTATTGGAAAATGTTTAAGGGCTAACGTTTATACAATCTGTACTGTATCTGAGCACGAAACTCATTTTTCAACTTCATAAATTATCAGCCGATATCTGTACCTTAATGAGGTTGTAAACAACAGTCTAATTAAACTCGTTAATCGCAAAACTCAAACGGTTACCGCTTTTAAAACAAAACCTCGCAATTTTCAAACGACGACCGCGTAAATAGCCTTCGTTATATCTGGCCGGCGATCTCGGCTCATTACCTCCCCCCGCCCCTAATTAGACACCCCCCAGCGATGTCGGGATTGTTTCCTAATAATTCCTTAATTTCAATCCATATTTTATATTCTAGTATAATTTAACAATCAATAAAATGTATTAAAAAGAATAAACATCTATTATCACATAAAATACTTGAACTATAAAGTCAACGTGAAAATAGTTATTTGCTTGTGATTTATACATATTAAAATATCGTATATTTGGATCTTAAAATGTACTTGCCATCTGTCGCTTGAACGAATTAACACGTTCATGTGAAATATCAATAGCGTTTGAAAAGTGAGCCTTCGAAGTTAGGCACATAGTTTGACAAATATATAACATATGATATAGATACATTATTTAATAAGAAAAAATATAAAAATATTACTTATATTAATATTGAGTTAAATATATTTTTTATTATAAATAATGTAATTAAATGTTAATGCAATTAAAGTAAATCCACATACTTCCTTAAATTACAAAAGCGTGTTATCTTTTCTGCCGACTGTAGCCACGGTCGCGAGACACAAAAGAGTTTTATCGCTTTCCTCTTCATAATAGACGTCCCGTCGACATCATTAACGTATTGGAGTTAGCCGCTCTGTTATTCGCTAATATGACAACAACACAAAAAAAAACTGGCCACAAATGGGGCACCATCTTTTCGGTTAAGGCGTGCGACGCACTGAACTAAAGATCTCTGTATTATTAGGACGGTTATTGTTAATTGTTCTATTAACAATAAAACAATAAAAACTTTTTGGGTGTATTAATTTTTACATATTTATGTTTAGGATATGACGCTAGACTTAAATGAAGAAAATGTTAATAATAACAGTATGACCGAAATGAAATAATTGCTGTATTGATTTTCTGTAATGTATATACGTATATAAGTCTTGTATATAAAATTGAAATCTATTATTGAATCTAAGTTGAGTGTGCTCCGGGCGAGCAGGGAGTATTCTAATAGCGCGTTAGCGTGCCCCGTTTTTGCGTTAACGAACAGGTTGCGTTAAGACGTCGGATCGAGTCCGACTTGGAATTTCGCCTCATTAAAAGTTGTGACCTGCCGAGGCAATTTAGGCACGCGACTTCGACTGCTACTTATTAACGAACTGACTTCGCACTATCACTAAGTATTTGGCAGACTCCATCGCGAGACGTCAACTCCTTTCTAAACGGGGAGCGTTGATTGTTAAAAGTTAGTACACTCGCTTATTTTGTAATGGCAATTTTAAATGATCACATATTCCTTTGAGCTATATTAATGTATGAATGTTCTGTTGTTTGTTATTGAAGTGTTCGTAATTTTAAAAGCTTCATATGATCGATGGTTTTGAATGGTGAGGATGTAAAGTGATATATCAAGTCGAGATACCGTTATCCGTTTTCAATGGACACAAGCGTATAATCCTAATTAGTAAGTGAAGCATGAAGCTAGCAGGCGCTGGCCGGTCACCAGACGGATCTATTTCGAACTTTCTAATACGTAGTTCATCAACAAATTCATTATGTCGTAAAGAAGCGTGCGCGAGACCTAAATATCTTGGGGCTCGTAAAAGCGCTCGTAAAGACGTTTGTTTACTAATTCGAGTGGGGCAGGTGGGGCAAGGGATGCTGCGAATAATAGCTCCACTAATACACTATGACTTTAAAAAATTTCTTTTTTCTTCTTAATATCAGGTAGGAGTTATGAAAATGTTATTTTTATTATGTAAAACAAAATAATTTATCTGATTATTGTTGTGTCGTATACCACATTTCATATAAGTAGTAGTAGCGCTACTTATTCCAGTAACAGTCAGGGCGCTGTGATGTGAGGTTAACACATGAGGTTAATTAAGATCAGAGGCGGATCTATAACTAGTTACCGCTCAACTTTACCAACTCCCCTAATTGATACGATTTGATCGTCATCGCAACCACACTGCCGCTGCTAATCAAATTTGTTTCGTTAATTCACTAATGCCAATATAATGCGGCGAAGTAATAGTGTGTCACTATATTTTAAATGAGTTCATTAAAAGAATTTGACATTATTTTAATGATAAGGCAGACAGAAAAATTTAACTACTGAAAATATGTACATAAAGACTAATTTATAAAGTAAATGGGTGTTCATTATTATCTAATAATATTAAAATAATAATTTAGATAATGGAAGCAATAACATTAATAAATAAATTTAAATATAGACTCGATGTATATTTGTAATGTACTTATTTCGTATACAGGATCGTTCAGCCGAACATCGATATAAAAATAAAAAATTGAGAGAAATGAAAAGCTGAAACAGAATTTGTAAACAGATTTTAACAGCTGTCAGTAGTTGTCCGTTCCTGGTTGTTACAAAATTATCTTTGTATCAAAAAATCTGGACGAATGACAAATTAAAATCTTCACTAACTGAATCCCCGCTTGTATGATTAAAAATTCCTTTGACAGTGGTGGCTATCGAATAATGATTTGTGTACGTCACGCCGGCTTCCGCTGTCATACTTGCGCCAAATTTTCACTATTTTTCGCCATCTGTTTTTTTCTATTTTCCGCCAGCCGGACGCTGGGCACTGCGTTTATTTATTAACAAAATTCGTCTACCTAACACGTCTCGTAGGTATGACGGTCTGTGTAACAATGCAATAGAGTTCCAGATGCTATGCCTCGTTGTTTCTGTGTTCGGCCGTTTTTCAGCGAGCGGGCACCGTTTACGAGGCTGCATGGGCGCGACGCAGCAATGCGCTCCACCCATATCAATTTCGAATAGGTTTCCTATCCTATTCGGCCAGTTCGGGGAGATTGCGTTTTGATCGTTTTGTGTGAAAAACTGTTGCCCTAAATTAAACGCTTTAATAATAGAATAGAAATAAAACCGTCGCTCGCGTCTGTTGACGGAACCATCGGCTTGTAAAAATGGAACCGATCGCGTACGTTCCGTTGTCATTTAATATTTTATGAATTAGTCGTTCGTGAGTTTTATGTAAAGGGTACGCCGACCGCGTATGGCCGACTGCATCAATTCAAAGTATCATCAATTACAAACAAGTTCCAATTAGAGATAGTGCAGTTACAAATCAAATTGAACCGAGAGTCCTGTGCGAGTCGTTCACTAATTAGAGCTGCGGGCGATGTGCCTCCTGTGAACTAATCAGGTGGCTAAATAATGTAGTCGTGACGGCGTCGTTAGCGCTCGTGAGACAGACGTTATTAATTAACATCACTCTCCCTGCACACTCGCCTTCCAACCCCCTCGCCACCCCACAGACCCCCGTCCTGCCCTGTCGTCTGCGTTTAGGATACTATATACACAAATTATTTCTAATTACCGGAAGCACATTATAGATTATTACTAATACTGTGTACCAATAAAGGATACATTAATTATTCGAAACTTCCATTCCATTTAAATTAATAATTTTCTTTCCAAAACAGTTACTGTCATATTTCTATGTATATTTATGAAAGTCTTAATATTTTCCTATTCTAAATGATATTCAATAATATAAGTTTCCACAAGTCAAAGCACGTTATTATAATCTAACGTACGGATGACCGCTGCCATTACACCGTAAGACAATTTCCAATTATGAAGATGGAGTCAATTTATACAACAAAGAGACGCGACATGATTGGTTTGTCTGGCGAATTTCTCGTGGCTTTCTACACAAGAGATGCAGCCTCCAGCCGCCTAGGAACATGTCCGGTATCTTACGTATATTGTCGTGACAAATACTCTTATGATTCTATAATTAAAAATATTTTACTAAACAATGAATAAGTACATTAATATTTTAATTCACGATAAAAAAAAATCGTCTTTTTTGTAGCAACTATAAAAAAATTAAGAGTATAATATGTAAACATTACGAGAATATAAATTTAACATGTGAGGAAAAAAAAAGATTACATGAGCATTAAAAAGATAATGTTCGTTTGCTATATTAATTAAGAGAAGTAATAAAAAACACCAATGAAAAGCCGCCTCCGGTTCTATCATTTGATAAACGAATTAATTGAATCGGCTTGATGTACATTAAAGGATTTTCATAGGCCACTAGGAAGTTGTATCGAATTAGTATCAGTAACAAACATCTCATAAATATGGATCGGTCTATAGCTGTTGGTAACCGATTATGTGCATTCTGATTTACGGTTTTGTCCATTTCACGTCGCTGCCAGAAGCGCTTTACTACAGCTTTCAATAATTATCCTGCTTGGAAATGGTACATATTTAACCCGATATTGAAACAAATTAATAGAAAATAATACGTAAGTAAGAATTATATAAGATTCAATGTTGATTAGTATTGCTTATTAATTCAAAAGTTTCACTAATTGTGTTTCGAATCTAAGCGATGTGAAGAACAAGAGGACTAATGTTCACGCATCGAAAGTTATCCAAAGAGCAAGTTTGCATGACCAAAGTGGATATCAGTAATAGAGTTCTGGACATAGATTGGTCAGGCGCTGTTTAGATCCTGCGCTGCAACAGACAAAGAGACAAACGAAATTAATTGAGGTCATGCGCCAGCGGCGTAATCCAATCGTTGCAGGCTGTCTGCGAGCCTTTTACACGACCAGCAAGAAACTCGCACTAACTTTACGACCGCAGACAATTTGTACGCCATACGGATTTACGACCACAACCGATATTCAATACAACGATATTAATATGACGGATGTATGTTTTGTTTTGTTTTTTTTGTAATATGCATTTCATTTAACGTCGCATACAACTGTCGCTAATCCATATTGGTTCCGGGCACTTTGTATTTCTGAATAATATTGCGCCGTATACAACCCTTTGGCTCCTCTACGAGTTTGTCGACATCAATTTATGTACAATGTCAATTTGCACAAGAGAAACGTTCCCGGACGCAGCGCCTCATTAGAGGCGAGCGGTTGCAATTAAACTGTGCGTCTTTTGCGCGTTAACGAACGGCTAAATTGGAGGCCCACCCATCCTCAACACGTGCTTACGTTAAAAAATATATATTAATATTACTATTGACTTATCATTTGGTTCAGGTGATCATTTTATATTGACATTAATAGACACTCCTACCCGGTTATAAAAGACCATCACAATCGATCACAGCCAGGAGCTCTTCATGTACAAATAGTTGTTTCGTGCAAAGTTTGGCCTTAATTTCCAATATATTCAAAAAATAAGTTTACTACGTGTACTAAAGTCATTGAACTTTTGACAAATGAGTTTGAATTTTAAAGGGACTTAAATATATTATGTTTGTATGGAGTAATTTAAAAAGCCACGCGATGTTTATTTATATATAGTGTTGTGGCTATAGTTACATTGAAATATATAGGTACTATACATTTTTCTGTTATTATAATGGGAAGGTCACGTCCATAGTCGAGGAGTTTATATTTCATAATTTTTTCTCTATATTATTATTATTTTTAAAATATTCACAGGAAAGTTAATTGCTAGGAGCGAAAAACATCTAGTCGATTCAAAGCCCGTAACAAATGCATATATAAAAACATTTCAACTGATAACCATGATTATAAAATCATATCAAAAGAAGCGTATAAAGTGCTAACAATTTATTCGAATGATAAAAATTTATTCACGAAATTCCACTACAAGTTGCAAATGTGAAGACGGTTAACAATGTGAAAGTGTGAGCGAGTAAGAAGTTGGTTTACGGTCTCGTTAGCGGCGGCTGATTGCCGATTGAGCAGCAATTGGCTTGATTGACGGAGCTCTAACGAACCCGCTTCAGCAGATGGACGTGCCGCTGCGATCTTTTAACTCCTAAATGTTTTAACGTTGACAGCCTAAATACGAACACGAATAATTGACAAGTGACGATCACTCGTTATATTGGCCACCAAATGAACTTTAATTGGTAAATTTATAAGATTTATAATAATATTATATGAATGGAAATAGTTTTATTTGCTATTTATTTTTAAATGAGCAGTATAAATAACTTTTTCATGAATATTATTTGTGGTCTAATTATCGGAGATGGAAGTAAGTGTTAGATTTATTTATGTGTAAGTATATTAAAGTTTATTAAAAATAAACGTTAAAGTAGACAACCTAATTCTGTTTGCGACTCGTAGAGGTGCTACGTGCTACGAGTTTTCTGATTGCTCGGTATTTCAATCGAATAATTTAGTTCGATTGATGTAGTTGAATCTCCACGGACCTGGTTCATTTGTAGGCACGCGGCCATGACACGACGATTTACACGTTGCTCTTCATTCATTTATAACAGATGCTCGAATTTTTGTCATCAATATAACAGTCAGACTTAAAGTGAAATTGAACCATCAATTTCCGTGTTAACATAACTCCTGTTATAAAGTTCCTAATCAAATGTCGAGATATTTATGTTGTCACAGCAATCAGTATATTGAAACACCATGAGAGCGAGTACAAAGATGCCGCAACTAGAGATATCGGAACAAAAGGCGGTTGTTTGTGTGAGATAGCGTTAATTTCGTTAAGGAGTCTCAATCAGGGAAGACATGTAAGTAAAGTCGGCGGGCGGTCGCCGCGGGAGCGATTCAAGCGAATTACCGTACCTGGAGGCGCAGGGGCCGACTCGTTAGTTGTTGTTTGCCGAGTGACGCGGGTCAATCAGCAGAGACATGCACGGAACCGCACTTCTTCATCCCTCCCCCCCCCGTCCTCTCAACCCTCACCCCGCATCCCCCGCACCGCCCCGCTCGTTAGGCCGCGTCGTCTCTGTCAACTGTGAGACGAGCTTTATCGAATCTACGACGTAAACCCGCCGCGGTTGGCCCACTCTTCGTTCCCAGTTTGGTTCCAAACCGCCGGTAAACAAGGGAAATCAGGTTTAAACGAATCCATCATATATCCTTCATTAAGATAGATACAAATGAGGTTTTATCTGATTTAATTTGAGATATTCGTGTCTTATCTCATGTGTCGCTTCAATTAGAGCCGGTCCCACATTAGCAGCGTGGAGAAAATGGGAGCGTAATTATAACGAGAGACGGGAACCGCACGGGGTGGTGGACTTGGTTAGTTGAATTCCTTGCGTTTAGCTAATTAACGGAGAGGGCGGCTCGAGGCAGATGCGGTCCACGTGGAGGACGGAGCGGGGACGGGGCTTCATTTATATGAAAATATATTTACATGACTAATACTAACTAATATAACCAATAAAAGTATCTGTTCCATTTATTTGTAAGGCAGAGACAATTAAAAAGTCAGTATGCGGTAGGTACGGCATTATAGCAGGTAATTAGTGCCTGAACAAAATTTAAAGTAAAAAACTTGTTACGAACATTCTGAATTAGCGACGTAAAGTTTTTTGGACGATGGCGATTCAAACGAATCTGGAGATTCCTCTGGTCGGTTGCTGCGCGAGGCTGTGTTTTTGTCTCGATCACAGGTAGAAGTAACGCGACGGTTCAAAGCATTTTCATAACAATGCGCCAGCGGCTTTCTCGGATTCATTTTTTTTGGTGTTCAAAACGTTTGACAGACACGCTATTGTCATTGTTAGATAATGCACTAAAAAATTGCCTAATGAGAATGATCGAAAGAGATAAACCGCTTGCCATATTTGTTCAGACTTATTACCGGTTTTAATTACGGACGCGTTTAATTGGGTAATGGGATCTCCTCTTCATTCAATACATTGGTAAACATACTAAGCGCTATGTAAACAGGAAAAAAACGAGACTTACCTTGTGTAGTCGCTTTTGCATAATATCATCCCGCCTTTGAAATAAAAGGATCGTCCCATGTCCGCGAGGGCTTGCCCGCAACATGTGCACTTCAGACAGCCGTGGTGCCAGTATCTGTCTAGGGCGTGGAGGAGGAACCTTTCTACAATCTTCCCTCCGCAGCCGGCGCATTCTTTGAGCGCGGGGTTGTTGTTATTGTGAGGGTAGTCGTGTCCGTTGGCGAAGGCTGCCTCCGGAGAGGGCGGGTGAGGTGAGCTGAGCTCCGCGTACCCGTGGTAGTGCGGGTTCATGCTCAACGCGCTCGCTGCCAGCTTGACGGTTGGAGCGGGGACCGCTCGCACCCACCACCACAACTACACGCCCTGCAAACAACATGTTCAATAAGACACTACACACTATGTGGTTCATAGTGAGGAAAAAGAAACCATCGCTCAGAGACACCTGATGGTGTTATATATTTTGAAATGTAAACATATACAAAATAAAGCAATCGTTCGCACGTTCACATTCAATAAACTGGTTATATGAAGAAGAACAGTATTAATCTGAGGACGGGCGCGTTTATAAAATCTTCCAATTAGCAATTTCATACAATTAGAAGTGGTATGGGGGTAGTGTGGTCGGCGGGGTGCGCGGGGAGGGGTGAGGGGTGCGACCGGTGCGTCAACCCGATCCAATTAGCCCGCGGCCGGCGAAGCGGCGGGACGTCTGAGCGCTTCTGTCGCCATAAAACTTAATTAAACCTTTTAAAACAAGTATTCATTAAAGAATAATCAAGCTTATGTAGTCATAAATAACCGGATTGTCCCGCGCGGAACGGGTGCCGTAATTAAGACTGCACAGAGTTGATCAAACGCACTGATTTGAAACTACCCTTCATTAAGAGAACGCGAGGCGGGCGCGGGAGCTTCCGCTGCGGTGCAGAAACTAATTAAGAATAACGGACGCTTTAAAAGCGTAATTAATTTAGATTGTAATTCTATTTCTCCCGGAGTAAAGTAGACAATTATTTCAGTAGCCCTTTCTTTTGAAGCGATTTGCTTGCTAAATGTAATTTGGTTAATTTTTGTGTCCAACGTTATAAAGGGTTGTATTCGTCGACGTGCTCCGAATGGAATCACGTCGGCTCGGGGCTGGCGTGCGTTGTATTTGTATATCCTAGTTTCGAGTGGCGATGTAAGACAGAAGCGTGTTTGAAGCCATTACATGCTGTCGACTTTGTCTAATGAACGCTATAAGCTCTACCTTAGGTGGCGTGTTGCTCCCATGACCGTGCGTGTGCACTAATGAGCGTCTTTGCGTGCTGTAGTATTTCGTTATATCGCCACCAGTATGCGCTGAGCTACTGACCAAATTTAGTTTTATGTTTTGTTTTTGCGAACACGTGTCCCTTGTATACGCTCATAGTCGATTTTGATCAACGCTCTTGGGCATCCATTAGACGATTTAACGGTTGATTTATAGACGTAATAAAAACTTTGGTATGAAACGTGATTGTCTCAATACCATTTTAGTGTCAATGACCTCTATAAGTTAACACATAGGTGTCAAATAAATAACTTATTTTTTTCTAAATAACGCTTCATTTGGGACTATTACTTAAAATATCTGATAAAAGAATTACTGAACTTTAATAGCAACGATTAAGAAAAATAATAAGTAACCTAATGATATATAAAATAATTTAATTTGTATTTGTAAAATTGAAATTACAACCTACTGCTAATGGCTGTATACAGAAATACGTCATTTTTTTTCAAACACAAATTACCGTTGAATATAATTACTCGAACATGTCTGTTAAGTAGATGCAATGGAAAATAAATGTTAATGCTACCGGTGTAGAGTTGCAAATCGGTTTTAATAGCGATCACCGCGTTACGTGATGCGTGTTTAGGCCGAGGGTGGCCTGGGAACCAGGCAGGTGCCGTTTTCATTATTCAAGCCCCATTGATTGGATACTTTGTTGCCGTTTAAAAATCTTATTAGCAACCACCCGACAACAAAGAAGAACGAGCCTCCTCACAGCCCTCTATTTACCTGTTAAGTGATTTTTTTTCAATTACAGCGATGAACTGCACATTCGAATGTTTAACGAAACTGTAAGTCATCTTGTTATCGGTCTCTGCCCTGCCACTTCTACTAAGGATGCGATGAGTTAACAGAAATCGTCCAGCGGATTTAGAAGTGAGTGCTATAATTGAATTTATTGATAATTTCTTTGACATTCATTTAAAGGATTTTCACCCAAGTCTAAATCAAATAGACACGCATATATGTGCTATAAACGTGACGTCACACAAGAAATCGGTCACTAACTTCTGTTAGGTCTCAAGAACAACAACCCGACGCCCGCGAATAACGTAATTAAGGAGAAACCGCCGGCAAAATTAAACGCGAAAACGGAATGAGAATGTGAGCCTAATTAGAGCCGGAGGGAAGACGTTGCACCGATCCCCCTACACCCGCCCCGCACCCCGCGACCCCGCGGGGCCCATACCCCGCGACCCTCGACAGACCTGGCGGTGTTCCGCTTACACTCTATGACAATTATAGCTGATGGAATAAAACACAGGAGATTAATGAACAAGCGATACCTCGATCACCTATACCGTGTCTAGACTACAATTTTCTATGCAATATAGAGAAAATAGTCGTGGTGTTGTTGTTTATAAAATGATTTTTCTCTCATATTGAATTAATGTATGTAAATATGAACTAATATTTCTACAGCATGAATAATGACGCAATTATATTCAATAAACCTAGTTCAAAAGAACCTTAAAGTGATAAAATAATCTATAGTTTAAAAATAATATTTTTAAAAATAATTGTAACAAAATAGAATTAGTTTTGTTACTAGGATAAAAATTTTAATCCATTTTAGATTTTGTTTAGAAATATACATTAACACGTAAGTAAGTATATTTAAACTGTAATTGATTTTTATATGGTACAAGAATAATAGCATACTCCGTATAACAATCGTATCTCAATCTGAGGTTAACTGAATAATTTATATAATAAATGCATTTATTATTTTATATTACAATGAACAATACACAAGTTGAATACGAGTGTATTTGCGGGCGATGGGTAATGTGTAAAATTATTTGCATAATATAATGACGGCTAATGGCCCGTTTGCATTATTTATCGGACGTGACCTCAAAACGAAGAACCGTTTGAAAAGTTCAGCCGCCGACTTTGTGATTAATTTTAATTATATTCTAAAGATTTATAAGAAACAATTATAACTGGCGAGGTCGCTGTTTAATATTCATATATTTTTGATGCAAAAAGATTCTTCATAAACATTTGGTTTGCCTTTTTCGTACTGAGGAACTAAAGTTCCAGATTCGTATTATGAACTCCGAATGTATTTTACAAGTCACGTGTCACGCGTGTTAAGTGAATCGTTTTGTTCGACACTAATGGTGCGGGATTCATTGTCGTCAAACAGGTGTATCGTGACGAAAAACACGTGTAATGACCACACGGGCGCATAGCATACATCGCCTACAGATCGCTCACACGGCCTGCTCGCAATTAGAGGCGGCCGACCGTGGCGCGGAACTATACAATCTAGCTGGTGGAATTCAACTGTTTTAATACATGTTCTAACCGAGACTTGTGTATAATATAGTTTTTAAATAACTCGTTTAATTATCGCATTCCTCACCTGAACGATATCAAGATTTTTCAAGAACAATCGACACACTTTAGATGTTAAACAGTACTGATAAGGTTAATCTATTTACTTGATCTACAGTATATAGGTCTGTGTATAATGTTCAGAACACATGATAAATATTTGTGGTCCATTCGCCATGATGGCTCTTATAATAATTGTGTAACTCACAAATAAAGCCAATAAAACCTTTATTTACCTGCAAGTGCGTAGAACACTCTATATTATAGTCGTATCGTCATAGATTTTGGAAAAACAAAGTTCAAACCGACCAGTTTTTATATTGACCTTGTAGGGTAGGGAAGTATAGATTTTTAAAAGCATTGATCTCATAATAAAAGCGCCATTGTTTCTTAAAAGCATTTCTTCAGAGTCGCAATCTTAATTTCTTCTTGGAATTTAAGTGATTGCAGTAGGTATCAATGTCAAAAATGACATCACTGAATGGACATTACGATGAGTAAATATTGATAAGGATACGACTATTGTTCTACAGCGAATGCCCTTTGCACAATCAGGTAAAGTCCATGTTAATAACAACGGTATATACAATCATCCATTGTTGAAAAAGAAACTGTTGAGGTTGTAATGATAAGGCAAATAATCGTTAATTAATCAGACATTCTAAGAAATAATATCTGATTATAATAGAAAGAGTAAAATAATGATTTATAAATCATATTATAATATTTTTAAAAATGTATATTCTAGCTGACCATAGTATGTTAACTATAGTTTTAGATCTATATTTGTTAGTGCTTACAGGATCAATAGCTTTTTAAAAATTAGGTTAGCGGTATATATATTTTTGTTGTTTTGTAGTGTATATTTGAAGTATTCTAAAAAAATATAACAATCCTAACTCTACACTAACGATCAAATATCGAATATCTGCGGTTGTTAACGCTCGCGTTGTTGAAAGTTTTTTAAGTTACGTATCTATTAAAAAATATATATATTATTCTAAAATACGAAATGTTAGAAATATATATAATAAATAAAAATAAGCTTTGTTTGAACAGTTTTCAACTTGAGAGATTTTTTATGTAGAAGTAATATTTTCAATGCTGTTTCTAAATTCGACACGGTGTTACCAAGGCGTTGTAGAAAGATATGTTTATTAATACTAAGTATAGAGTAAAACTATTTTTAAACAGGTAAGTAATTAGTACATTATATGAAATCATATATGTAATTATAAGTACACCTTGCAATGATCGTGTTTAAAGGAATTTGGAATATGTAAAATATTTAGTCATGAAGTACTGTTATAACTTTATGCTAATACTATGTATCTACATATATTGATTCTATCTCACTCCAAATTATAATCCTGAAACTCGATGTTTACCATAAAAATATATTAAAATGCTAATATTAAACATATATTTATTTAAATTTTTAACTAAAAAAGATTATTTTTTGTACATATTTATTAAAAATATGACCATAATGGAATCGCGTTTAAATTTACAGTTAATTCAAACCGGTAACCGATGTAGGACCGTTAAATGCGCATGCGATGTCAACTAAACAAAACTAAATTCGGCCTCTTTGATATTCTTACAATGTCTTTATTGAGGAAGAAACTTGAGATTC